GCTGTTAATGATTACAAAGTACAGCACAACAATGATGCAGTAGTCGTGTTACTTACCTTCAAAGAAGTAAAATACAGATAATTATTTAATGTTTTTTCTTTGAAAGTTGTTGTTTCAGAAGAAATGATCTTGAGCGAAAGAGACTTCCTTCACTTTGTGAGCACAGTCCTGGGACACTAAGGATGATGGTGCTACACCCAACAAAAGGCAAACTAACGTGGGTGACACTCAATCCGACCCACATCACAGGGAGTGTTAGCAGAGCTGTGTTTGGAGGCTCAAACTGTCCATCCCAACTATTCCCCCCCTTGTAAAAGCGGTACAAAGTTTTAATTTGTGAAGTGCATGCAGAAATCAAGCTGTGTGAATATTTTGCAGCTTTCATAGCAGCAGGCAATCACTGCTCAGCATCTCCCACTCATCAAGTGTGGTTCTGACATTGTTACATGATCACACAACTAACCGTGAGCTGGAATGAAAACGAGCTGTGTCTGATCAGCAGGCACCGACACCGGACACATCCTGTGTGCAGCTGGGGTTTGGTTACAGGCGCCATATTGAATTACCCCCACTCCCGTAGAAATACAGAGAGGGGGAGACCACTTCAGTGCATCACTGAATGGTTTACTAAAAAAAACAGTGAAAGAAATCAGTCTCAGTGCGGAAGTTAATCCACTCTTGACGATCATTTTGTTTTTATGTATTTATTATGTTTGTATTGTTTTCTGTTTAGAGCGACAGAGACTAACTTACAATCCACTGGCTGAAACAACCATTAATTACACAATGACTTCATCAACTCGCCTCTGAAGCCAAAGAAATACAGACATCCTGCCACTGTGCAAGCCAAAGATTTAAACAAAAATCTTGTGTTAGCTGTTGTGTCAGGGATGACTAATTTTACCTGAACGTTTATAAATCTCGCTGAATTACAGCTGTTTTTTTGTGTTGGCTCATTCCTGTCAAGTTAAACTGAATCCTAAAGTTCATTATTTGTAGATGTACATACAATTATTATTTTATAAAAGCTTCATTAAGCAACATCCAGGGTCTCATTCTCCCACTGGATCATGACTGTTGGCAACAAACTACTTTAATGGGGGAGGGTCAAAGTTCATGCTCAGTAATCCAGGTAAGAAATCCAACAACATTAAGTCAGGTCCTCTGGACGTTTCTGTTTGTTGAAACGTTTCGTTTTTCATCCAAAAGACTTCATCAGTCTGAGGAGCCACAACAAACTCAGTCTTATAAATAGCACCATCACATAGTGGACTAACCAGTTTGCTGGTGATAAGATGGTTTGGTCAAAGGTTATGGATGATTTTATTACTATGGCTGAGAACATTCTTCTCCTCTGCACTGAGAACAAAAAGACTAAAACAAGCTGAAACTGTCTCCCAAGACACGTTATCTTATCTCTGCCCATGAACCACATGTTTGTGTAAACAGAGGGCGCTGTGTAAGAAGACTGCAGCAGGCTTCAAGGACACACTCTGAGCTGAGAGGAGTATAACAGCAGGCAGATAACGTGGCTCATGGCCTTTTTCTGTGACTGGTTTTCATACATCTATGTATGTGATATATTTAATTAATGTCTCTTGAAAGCTGACTTTGCAAGCATAAAATACCAGTAAAAAATCTTCTCCTACCATTGAGTGTGGTTGTTTTGGGTAAACAACGTTAGTGAGAGATTTTCTTCAACACTTAATTAATCATTTTAAACTTGTTTGACTAATCTTTGGAATTCTATGAAACATATTTTCAAATGCCGTAATTGTTTTTCTATCAAAGTCGAACAGTAAAACTTCGATGAAATACCTGGTGTACTTTTTTTCTGATTGTGATGTAGTAGTTCGATCATCTTCTATTGTGCAAAACCAACGTTAAATCAGACTGTGATTGGCATCAACTAATTAATGTGAATTTGTGACACAAATGAAAACTTAAAGAAAGAATCAGTTTGAAAGAACACATTTTCAGGTCTCTCTTGTAAATGAGTCCTCGAGGCTCAATGGGATTTACCTGTATAAATAAAGGTTGATTGATTTTCAGAACAGAAGGGTCAACTTGTTTATTTTTTTTTTTAATCATTAATGACCTGAAAATATAATAAAAGATACACATAATAAATGCAGCTCTGTTCTCTCAGGACATGACACGGACTGCTTTACAAGCAGCAAGGCGTCCCTTGTTTGTTCACTCACTAATCCCATATTCTGCATCCTGCTTTTTAATTGGGGTTCTCAAGAGACCTCATCCAAAGTCTCAGCAATGTGCCCGAGTCTTTTCGAGCAGTTTATGCTAAGTCCACTAACCAATTACTCTGCTGTGCCCCAGCAGAGTAGCTGCTCGACGGATTACAACTCATGCTGCTGCATTACTGATGAACCTCCGCCTGCTGTGATTTGTTTAATGCTATGGTACAGATGTAGCATGGTGGTGAACATGCAACCATTCTCTACTTTTGAATACCTTATGACAATTTAATTCAACTTATTGTGAAAAGGAATATTTCGTCATATTATAAACATTATTGTATTTTTCGGACGGCACACTTAAATCCTTTAATTTTCTTAACAATCAACAGTAAACCTTACAGTCTGGTGCGCCTAGGCCTGTCGCAATAAACAATAAATCAATTAATTGTGTAATAAAAGAAAATTATTTACCTCATTTGCATTTATCGGCTTTATCGTTTCTTCGTGTCGCTCTCTTTCTACTGAAAACACTGGATGACAAAAAGGCTCAACTTTGGTGCTCTTCACTGACCCCTCACTTTCTCTTTAAAATCTGTTTTAACCATCCAAAATTGTATTTTTGAATCGTTAAAAGCACCCAAGCTGAGAAGCTAAGCTACGAGCTAAGCTAACAGGCCAACCATGAGAAAAAAAACCTCCATCTTATCAAAGCTCCAAAATTCACAGTTGAAACCTGTGCCTTCATGTAAAAATGTTGTTATTTTTTGCAAAAAGAAGCTGAGAACTTGTTGACTGATTTTTTATATTAAAAACTTTGTGTGAAAAATACTATGCCAACTTTTTGATGCCTCAAATCATGCCCCGTCTAGGACACGAAGTGAGAGATCTTTTTTTTTATATACCGTCTCTCCTCATGTTTTCTTTCCTTTTCTCATCTAAGCAAAATATTATTCTGAATAAGAATAAGAGAGCCGCGCTTTCTATAGTTGCAGCTTCGTGCACTCCGCCCATCTTTCGGATGACTGTATGTACATATTCTCGTTGTATCTCGGAGCAATGCCAATAAAGTTTATTCTGATTCTGATTCTAAAGAGCTCAAATCACACCAAGCGTCCGGCATTTTGAGAACCGAAGGGAGACAGCCCATGTCACGTCAAGGAGCCTCCCTCCCATTTTTCTCGAAGAGACACGCTGCTCGCTACCTCACTATCCATCCTTTGGTTTAAACAGTCTTATACTGTCATCCGGTGGGCAAAAAAAGGTACTACACTTAAAACAAATTAACCAACCGTTCTTCTTAAATTTGACAATAATTATTAATTATTGTCAAATTTGAAACACTATTATAGTTAATCGCAATAATTTCTCAGACAATTAATCGGGCAGTAAAATTTGTTATCGTGACAGGCCTAGGCGCATCTTATGTATTAATTCTGGTTGTGCTGACCTCAAACCGATTTTATGTGGTACACGACGTTTAAAAATATATCAAAATGTTTTAGTTTTGCTTAATGCTCCTTTTAATCCGGTGCGTCTGAAAACAGACACATTCATTAATATTGCGCCTTATCTGGTGCATCTTACAGTCTGAAAAATATGGTAGTTATTGAGCAAAAAATATTTAGCTTTAAAATCAATTTGTGTATAAGAAAATTTCCACCCCAGCTTGATATTTGATTAAAGGCCTTGCATTCCTTGACAGAAAGCCTGTCAGCCACCTTTCAGAGATGAATTCAGTTATCTGGGAGAGACCCAGAAGAGCTGCTCTGGATGCCTCAGAAATGTCCAACTGGAAGGAGACCCAGGACACGCCCATCTCCTGGCTGTCCTGGGACTGCCAATCCTCCTGGAAGAGGTGGCTGTGGGATGAGTCTGAGCCAGCTGCCCCTGCAACTCTACTCCAGAACAAGCGGAAGAAAATGAAAAGATAATTTAACGTGATAACAACTGTTCACACTTGTCCATGTCCATCCTTTCGATGCGTGTAATTTCCCTGAGAGTTCATGGAAACACTTTTGATATTTCTTTCATGTGAGTGAAAGCAAGTCGAACCTGTGAACTTGCACTGTAAAGCTCCTACACCAAATGTTTTTCTGTTGTTTTATTAATATTAATTTTATGCTAAAAAACCTCTTTCTCCTTGGATATGTGTGGGAGTTAGCATAGCTCCAAGGTAACGCAGAAGGTTTTGTCTTGACAAAATATTATAAATCAAATCCACAGCAGCGATGTTCTGCTAACTGCATCAAAACATTTTCTTTTGTGCGTTTTTCACATTTCTGCTTCTTCTATTCAGCCACATTCTGCAGCTGAAGCCAAGTGCCCTTGGAGATAAGGAAAGAAAGAAAAGCTGCTTTTAAACCTTCAGCATCTATCTATCTATCTATCTATCTATCTATCTATCTATCTATCTATC